GAGCTAGTCTCTCTGACTCAGTTGGACTTGACCATTGTGGACAAATCAAAACTTTAGTACCTTCATGGACCAGCCAGTCCACTCATCTTAAAGTGGCCAAGTTTGGACAACACTGCCCTACTCCAAGTGTTGTCAGCTATTTAAAAAGAGACCTTCATGTCCAGTTCCAGCTGTTCCACGTGCCCTTTGGGGGACCATTGTCATAGTTTATGAAAACATGTTCATTATTGTCACCTGGATGGTTGTGTGCACATGTATGTGTGTGCATGTGCAAGTGTGTTCAACTCAGTGTGTAAATATGTCTGTGGGTGCAATTGGCTGTCACGTTGACTTACTGTTTTGGCATTCTGGAAATTGCCCTGCCGTGTTCTGATTCATTCCAAGAAAGTGCACTTTCTTGGCCATTTATTTTATTCTGTTCCCTTTCCGAGCTCTTTCATTTGTATTCCTTTTTTTTAATTGGCTTCCCTCATTCTCAGTAGGCTTGCAAGCAGACAATATAGGAATCCTGCCAGCCCTTCGGCCCATTCTTCTTCCCCTGAGGATTCCCCCTCCTCTCTTCCTCCACTCAGCATTTGTTTTTTCTCCTTCTTAATTGCACCCAGGTTTCCTGGGTGGTCCATCTGCGAACTAGATAATGGTGGAGTGTCTCAGCCTGCCTGAAGTTGATGTGTCATGCTTTTGATGAGGCCTCTTGAGTGCCTTCTGAGAACTGTTCTCTCTTTTTCGCCTTGTTTGTGTCCTGGCTCTTTCACACCTGCTTGAAAATGTGCTGGTCTGCTTGAAAATGTGCTGGTCTTTCAGAAATCAGGCATTTGGAAAACGCAGTGCACTGGGAGTTTTCTAATAGTGCAATCTAGGGCTAGATTGGGATACCACGTTTAAAAAATTGTGATGTTCTTCCCATTCTTCCCACTCACCTTTGCTTGAGGCCCCTACTGGTAATTATGCTGTTTTGATTTCGCATGAAACCATCCAAGAAGGTGTGTCTAATTATGGACAGAAACCTAGGCAACTTTAAGTGTCAAAAGTACAACATTATGCTGTTTATATGTATATAATAATTGTCTTGTCATTTTAGAAATAATGACTGTAAATAGAAATACAATACTGTAATATTTCATTGTGGTGGGGAAGACTGAGATTTGCTGAGTTGTTGGTCACCTGTTCTGTTTGTCCTCCAGGTATTACCTGTTGGTGGGCAGCTTCAAGGTCCTTGTTCTCCATTCTTATTGTTTTATCTTTAATCTGGACTTAGACTGTATACCCGTCAAATAAAGGTTTGTCCATTAACAGCCCTTCAACTGTTCTCTGTAAAGTAAGACAAATTATAGTGAAATTACAGTTGACTGACTTACCAATAATTGAGTTTATGCATTTGTGGTTGTACAGCTACATCTTCTCCCAGTTTCTTCAACATAAATATCAGTTCTGCTAGGAGTGATTCTTGCAAAATCTTCCACTAAGAGATCTACTCCCACCCCCACCCCCAAAAATCTGGATGATAAGCAGACTATCTTCAAGATCTGCTTTTCTAGTTCCATGATTTTTCCTTTCTTAAAACAGTCTTCTTCACTTAAAAATACCAGAAAATAAGATATCACATTCAATATAACAGAAGATCTTTAGAAATAATTTGACTTGCAGTGCCACAGGTCCATCTGAATCAGTAGGTTCCTGGCTTTCAGTGTTGTAACATAGGAGAAGCCAGTGCCAATCAGGACTGCTACCAAGGCCTGCTACCAGATACTTCGGGAATTACTAACAAGTGCTTGACCGGTTTGGTTACTTTTCTGAGATAGGCTTAAGTTGGCTGTTCTGATGTCACCAGATCACATTGTCATGTCTTAAAGATGGACGTGCAGTGGTAAGATTTAAGCTCCCATGTATCTCACTATAGTAAGAATTTTAAATACAGACCAGTAGCTATTATGTAAATCTATGCACATGTCGCTTTCATTTAGGCAACTCTCCCATCTTGTCTGCTAGAATTGACCTGCCCAATAAGAACCTCTCAGGAAAAATTGCTCATCGTCTCCCATTATCTTGAAATGATCAACACCAGGACAAAGTGTTTCTCTATAATGATCCCCATATCACAGAGCCACCTTCCCCTAGATATGAGATTAGCTTCAGCATTGTTAGCCTTCCAGAAACAAGTTAAGATGGGGCTTTTCTAAAGGTGTTTTTTTTAATTACTTGAGAGGATGCCAATGTTTTTATTGCTCTGATTAGATTGTTGGTTTTAATGCATTACATTTATTATACCCTGGATGTTTTATCTCTATGTTTATAATTATGCTTTCTGTACACTGCCAAGAGTTGTGTGATTGTGATGGTCTAGAAAGCTAATAACTAAATAAATAATGCAGGAATGTAAATTTAAAAATAAAGATTGTAAAGTTATGC